CTCTCTCTCTCTCTCTGCTCTGCCTTTGAAGAACCGAGAAAGTCCCTAGCAATACACTAACTCTGTATAATTAGTATTGCAAGATATATTCCGAGAAATGTGCTGGCTGACCGCTGGTTCATGATATTACCTGTTGGATATTGTCCGTCTGTTTGGTTACCGTTTGTTGTTGTTGTTGTTGTTGTTGTTGTTGTTGTTGTTGTTGTTGTTGTTGTTGTTGTTGTTGTTGTTGTTGTATTGTTGTTGCTTTTTGTTTTGATTTTGTTTCTTTTCTTGATATTTTTCCTTCTTTGAGTACACGGTGTTCTTGCAGGGTATTGTCATGGTACAGTTCTGTCATAATTTTTGCAGCTATGCACTTTTATTTCTTAAGAATGAGTGGTTGGCGATGCTGGGGTGAGGTTTGCTCATTTGCCCCTATCAAACATCTATCATCCTTAATCCTCTTTTTCTTCGTATGTTACTTTCCTCTCTAGTAACAGTTCAATCTTCAATTCTTGTACAACGACCTATTTGTGTTCCAGGTAACTAGATCTATACTATAAAAAAAGGGGAAAAAATAACTCAATACATTGTAAGCTACATTCATCTTTTTTTTTCAGAAGGGCATGTTCTGCTACAGTAAGATAACAGCGTCAGCGATATAGTGTTTAGACCCTTCGACACTAGTGAGGAAGATAATTATGTACAAACAATTGTATCTAGTATACATGTGCGGTAACGATCTCAGTTATTCTTTTGTGATGTATGCATAACCCGGATCTGCCACATCAGAACAAAACAGACTTCCTATTGTTTCAACAACAATGCTAACGAGTTTATAAAGTAGATCTATTACGACAGTATTTTTACATTTTAAAAAGTCTAATCCTCTTCTTCATCTTGGTCGGTGTTATGCATGGTATCCTTGATCTTTAAAAAGAATTTCACCACCATCAATAACACCAACAATAATAGCAACAACGACGAAAACTGGAGCGCAATGCGTCGACCATTTATATTATGGTGATGTTTTTAAAGTTATAAACCGTTATTTATGTCATGTCATTTTTCTATTTAAAAAAAAAATTATACCAGGATTTTCTTTTATAGGCCAACGTTGTATTTTCTTTTCTTATTTTCCTTCTT